GTACCAGGATGAAAGGGCGGGATGCAGAGGTAGCAGCCATGCCCCCTGTGTGGCCCGCCCTCCTCTTCCAGGGCATGTCAGAGACCTTCGAGACGCTACACAACCTGGTTCACAAAGGCGTCAAGGTGGTGATGGACATCCCCTACGAGCTGTGGAACGAGACCTCCGCGGAGGTGGCTGACCTCAAGAAGCAGGTAGAGGCCCTTCGGCTCTCCCAGCAGCCGCTGCACCCCACGGGGCTGGCTGGGGCTGGGGCTGCTCCTGAGGAAGGGCCACCGAGACCTGGGTGACCGGTCAGGTCCCTTGGCCTCACAGGCCCCGCTGTCCCAGGAGAACCACAGCCTCCTTCCTGCCTGCCGTGGGCGGGGGCCGGGCATTGCCGCCACGCAGCATTGTGTGCTCCACAGTGTGATGTTCTGGTGGAGGAGTTCGAGGAGGTGATCGAGGACTGGTACCGGAACCACCAGGAGGAGGACCTGACGGTGTTCCTCTGTGCCAACCATGTGCTCAAGGGGAAGGACACCAGTGAGTGAGGGCGGGCCAGGGCAGGCAGGTGCCCCGGGAAAGCAGCAGCCAGGGCGAGGGTGGAAAAGAAATGCGGCTGTGCTCACAGGGAGCATGGAACACAGTGAGGCAGGAGGCATGGACCTAGGTGCGGGTCACACAGGTGCCCCAGAGAGAGAGGAGGTGGGCTGTTTCCAGTTTCTCCCCAGTGCGCCTTGGGGAGCCCCTGTGCCCATGAGCTGCCCCTCCTCACCCCAGGCTGCCTGACAGAGCAGTGGTCCGGCAAGAAGGGGGACACGGCCGCCCTAGGCGGGAAGAAGCCCAAGAAGAAGGGCAGCAAGGCCAAGGCCTCGGGCAGCAGGAGCGGCAGCAGCAAACAGAGGAAGGCACTGGGTGGCCTGGAGGGAGACCCCAGCCCGGAAGAGGATGAGGGCATCCAGAAGGCATCTCCCCTCACACACAGCACCCCCGATGAGCTCTGAACCCAACTCTGTGTCCCTTGTACCGAGGGTACAGCAAGAGACCCCTGACCTGGAAGCTACCAGGCTGGGCCACAGTTCTGGCTAGCCAAGGAGGCTTCTCCGGCCCCAGGGTCCTCCTGCCTCGGCTGGGCCCTCTTCCTTCCCACGAAGGCGCAGCCCCAGGAAGAACTCAGAGCACAGTGGCCGGCCTGGGCGGGCGTTCTCTCCCCCAGCACCTCTCCTGGTACGGAATTGAGCCGGCCGTGCCGCTGGTCAGGGGCCATGAAGACTCCAGGGTGAACTCACCCAGAAGGGGCGGCGTCGGAACTGGGTACCTGGACCGGAGCGGATGATCCCCGGAGGAGGCATGTCGGCCTCTGCTGCCACACCTCACCCCACAGGGAAGCCAGTGGCAGCACCCACAGACCCTGTCCCCTGCCCACCCCCTTCCCTGGACTCCTGTGCTCTTCTGGCCCGCCTCCCCGGGCCGCGAAGTGCAGTGTGCACAGTAAAAACCTTTGGCCTTTTTGCCCCTATGTCTGCGTCCTCTTCAGCCCCTCAGCGGCCGGTTGCTCCTTCACTCCCCTCACCTGGGGGGCTGCCCGGTGCTCCTCCTGTAGGCAGGAACCTGCCCGTGCGGAGAACTTGCTGAGAGGGCCCAGGGCTGCCCTGGCAGCTCCCACGTCTCACTGAACTCCCAGACCTCCCCACCCTGTCATCTGCAGGGCTGCCTCTTTCTCTCGCTCTCCCTCCCCCCTTTCTCCCCACTGAAGGCGGCCTGCATCGTTTGGGTAAAGTGTTTACTGGTTGGCCCACCAGCCCTTTCACCTGGCCCTGCCTCTGGGTCTTTGACCTTGTGCCCTGGTGACCTCGCCCCAGCTGGAGTCAGAGGGGAGGACACCCCAGTCCTGGCCAACACCTCTCGGTTACAACGTGTTCCCTGGGGCCCGGGGCTGAAGAGAAGCTGACCTTCAGGGAGGGGGAGGCTGAGGTCCTACCGTCTGTCCTGAGGACAGGGATGGGGCTCTTGGAGTCAGTGGTGATGAGTGGTGTCTTCCAGAGCCTCGGTGCACCGGAGTGGGTAGTCAACCCCATTTTGTAGAAGAGGAAACAGGTTCAAGTCCAGGAAGGTGCCCAAAGTCCTACTGCTAATGAGTGGACACCCAGACGTTGGCGTTCACAGGAGAAAAGTCAACCACATTTCCCGCCACGTCACAGCTGCCAAAGCCCCTTCCCAGTATCTGCCACAGGAAACAGAATTCATGCAGAACCGGTCTGGTCTCTTGGCCCCGACCCACAGCCCTCCAGTGAGGCCCTTTGGAAAGGAGAGTGGGCAGTGGCTGTGCGTCTTGGAAGGAAGGAGACCCTGATGAAGGCCCCACATGCCGTGTCCTCACAGTCCAAGGCAGGGCCCAGGCTCCTCCAGCCCTGCCCAGGCTGGCTGGCCCTCCAGGAGGGAGCCCTGCAGGAAGCTCTGGGTCCAGCGAAGAGGCCCTGAGATCTGAGCTGGGGTGAGGGGCCCTCTCTGCCTGGCCTCAGGCCCTTTCCCCGTCCTGCCCTGCAGGTGAAAGCACCCTTGACCCTTGTGACTGGAGCCAACCGGAAGCTGCTCCCCTGGCTGGCAGGCTGAGGACTAGCCCTTGGAGTGAAACCACATTTGTCATCCAGCTGCCTCCTCCCCTCCATCACCAGGGCTGTTGTCCGTACTAGAGATGATAGAGGGCAACGGGATCCCAGCCCAGATGAGGGTCCTGCCTCACACATCCAAGCATCAGAGATGGATGAGGTGGAGGCTAGAACCATGTGGACCATCACACGGCCCCAGCAGTTTCGGGCCTGGCTTGCCTCTTCCCCCAGAGCGTCACAAATCCTTACGGTAGGATGGGGCAAAGGCCTGTTCCCTTTCTGGGGTGTTTGGCCTTGTGGCCCAATCCCAGTTCTCAGGGCAGGTGACCCGCTCCTGCTTTGCTCTTTGACCTGTGGCTGCTGAATATCAAGCCCCTCCCCCTCTGAGGGCCAGCCTGGTGTCACATGCACCAGCTTTTCGCAGCCCGCACCAGCAGGCAGCTGCCTCGCTGGCCCAGCCTGGCTGCCAGGGTTTCCTCCCCCTAATCCCTACCATGCCTGGCCGTCTTTTTGAACTGGGCGATTGGACTCCTTTCCCCCACTGCTTCCCTCCCGTCAGGTGAGGAACGCGCTCGGATACAGAACCACCAGGGTTGCTTGTTACTGTGGACCCAGCTCTGGCCTGGTAGCAAGCATCTCATCTCCTGGTGCTTAGGATGTGGCCAGGCCAGGCTGCCTCTTGCCAGGAGAAAGACTCAGCATTTAGCAGCCTGGCCTGTTGCTACCGAGGTGACCCCCATGCGTGTGAGCAAACTGCTCCCTAGGGGTCTCAGTGGCTGGGTGGTCGATGTTGATCACCAGGCCTTTCTTCTAAGACACCTCTTGGCAGACTCAAACTGCCAGCCTTTCAGCTAGCAGCTGAGCACCTTTGCCGTTTGTCTCTGACTGTCCCAGTCAGGGACTCCAGCATTTGTGAATCCCAGGTGCTGCCTTAAGAGAGGACATGTCCTCAGAAGCTCAACAGGCAGAGCCCCAGAACGGACCCATCTCCATAAGGTTTCCATCAGCCAGACCCACAAAGGTAGATGGACAAAAACCACGCTGAGCTATTGCCTTCCACCAGCAATGACAGGCCAATTCGAAAAGAACCGCAAACCATCAATGCTGGAGTGGGAGCGGGGAGACGGAGCACTCGTACACTACCGGTGGGTCTGTGAAGATGTACAGCGCTGTGGAAGTGATTTGGGCCTTGGGAAAGGCACCCTAGCTGTCTGCATCACAAACACCATGAGCTGTGTGTTGTGTATGCAGAGTTCTGGTTCCAGGCCAGTGCTAGGTCTGTATTAACAAGCACCCCAGGTAATTCTTGTGTGCAGGTGAGTTTGTAAATCAGTTTTAGTAGGGACCTGAGTGCGTACACACAAAGGAATACTATGTATAAAATACCATGACAAGACCACGGAGCACCTCATGACATGGATGGGCCTGGAGAACCTTAACGCTGAATGAAGTCAGTCCCAACCAAGCCAAACTCTGCCACCGGGTCCCGTCTGACTCACGGTGACCCTATAGGACAGGGTAGAACTGCCCCCATGGGTTCCCAAGACTAATAGCCAGGAGATAGGAAGTCTATCTTCCACCAAAGGACAGTTACTGTATGACCCCCTGTAGGGACAGAAACCGAGACAAGAGGCTTGGACACAAATGGAACAGACTTTGGAGAGTCCCAGAGGAGAGAGGGCAAGGGGTGGGTGGACAAAGCAGCAGCCTGGAGCACTGGCAGCTATTGGCTCGGGTGAAAGAGAGGCTAGAGATCCCTTAGAACAGCGGTTCTCAACCTGGGGGTCACGACCCCTTTGGTGGTTGACCAACCCTTTCACGTGGGTCGCCCGATTCATAACAGTAGTCGAATTACAGTGATGAAGTAGCAACGAAAATAATGTTATGGTTGAGGGGGTCACCACAACATAAGGAACTGTATTAAAGGGTCGCGGCATCAGGAAGCTTGAGAACCACTGCCTTAGAAGAAGAGAAATCGGATGGGGAGTCGGGAAGGTTGGGCAGCAGGTGGCTGTAGCTGAATGGTTTGAACAGTTGAATGCAGTAAATTCCCCACCTAACTCCCGATTTTAAAAACGGATTACTTAGAGGTAAGCTGGATAAAGCACAGGCCAGATGGTCCCGGCTCCATGGCTGAAAAACGGCACAAGCAGAGATGCAGTCGAGTCTCCGCGGCTGGGTTCTAGGTCCAGAGGTGACCGCATCCAGGCCTGGGTGTGCCAGTTTTAAAGGGTGCTGGGTGCAAGGCTTCGTTTAAAGCTCCTGGGTGGCATGCCCATGCAGCACCTTTGTACAAGCTAGGAAAAGGGGCTTTTGCACATTTCACTTCCATCTGTTAGGAAATAAACCAAGCTCGCTGACAGTGAGTCAATTCTGACTGCCACCCTAAAGGGCAGAGTAGAACTGCCCTGTGGGTTTCTGAAAGGGTGACACTCTACAGGAGTGGAAAGCCTCATCTTTCTCCCAAGGAGCAGCTGGTGGTTTCAAACTGCTGACCTTGCAGTTAGTAGCCCTGTACATATCCACTATGTTGCCAAGACTGATTGGAGGTTGTTTAAATATGTCTTGTTAAAAAGATATGTGTGTGTGTGTGTGTGTGTGTGTACGTATCTCGTTAGAATAAGACTATTGGCACGAAAGGGTTCTGTAGAAATAAGTACACAACCTACCAGGTTTGTGTGGGGGGAGGTCAGATGCTTACAGACATCCTCCCTGAAGATTGGCAGTCACCAGGGAATAGGCCCTGCTCCCTGCTGCTGGGGACAATGGATTACTTCTCCCTAAGGCTTGCGACCATAGCTTGGTTTCTGTAGGTGGGGTTTGCACCCTACTGATAATGGTTCCTATGGAGATCCAGAGAACAGGTCAAAGTTAAGCTGCCATCCTAAATCTAGGATCCGCCCATCTTGTCACATGTATACCCCCAATCCCTCCTCTTCCTATTGCGTGCATGTCCCTAGACCACCCCCTCATTGCTGTATAACCTGTAGTGCAACCCCTTCCTGTGACGCATGTCTTTACCTGTAATTAGTGGGCTTGCACACCCCCAAAAGGTATATAGGCCTGGGTTAGCAATAGAGGTCTTTCTCTCCTCTCTTCCCCCTCCTCTCCCTCTGCTTCCCTTGTCCTCCTTCCCTTCCCCCTCTGTCCACAAGGACCACCAAGCTGGGCTGAGGAGGTGAGCAATGCTACCATGAAATGTGTCTGACTCCATTGTTTGACACACTCTTCTATCGTTCATGCTCTCAATGACTTTAATATAATATTAATACATCTCAACCATACAATTGTGCTTACTGAACCCGGCACTAGCGGTGGGAGGCTGGCTCACCCACCTCAAGCCACAGGGTTGCAATGGCAGTAACAACAAAACACCAAAAAATCGCACTGCCATCAAGTCGATGCTGACTCAACTAGTTTCTAAAACGGGAAAGATGGAATATTAAACCCACTGCCGTAAAGCTGATTCTGACTCCTGCAGAACCCGATAGAGGGCTTTTGAGACTAACGTTTTTCTTCTTGTGACGCATGTCTTTAATTTTAACAACTGGAAAGCGAGAACACAAAGATTAACCTGGTTTATACAGTAGAGCCCAGAGATTTCTGTTGGATTTACCTCGAGTTGGAATCCACACTGAAGGTTACAGTCCTTGATCTTCGTCAGCAAGTGCTTCAAATCCTACTTTTAGCAAGCAAGTCTGTGTGTCATCTGCATATCTCAGGTTGTCACTAACCCTTCCTCCAGCCCTGAAGTCCCATTCTCCATGCAATCCAGTATCTCTGATGATTTGCTCAGCATACAGATTGAGTATGGTGAGAGGATGCAACCCTGAGACACACCTTTCCTAACTTTAAGAGTTCTGTTCAAACAGCTGCCTCTTGACCATGTGTAAGTTCTGCATCTGCACAG